TTAAAAATATTCTTTATGCGAATGGCTTTCATTATTTGGTTGATTTTCCTACTAGAATAACTCCCAATTCAGCAACTGCAATAGATAATTTTATTACTAACTTAGATAAATCTCAAACAAATGTAACAGGAATAATAACTGCTCTTTCCGATCATGATGGCCAGGTTTTAGAAGTAAATGTGCCCGTAGACCATAAGTTAAAAATTAATTTTAAGTATATTGAGAGGAGAGATTTCTCAGAAAGGAATATGAATGTTTTTAACACGTTGTTGCATAATGAAAACTGGTTACCTTTGTATATCGCTAATGTAGAAGATAAGTTTACAGTGTTTGACAACATATTTCAATATAATTTTAATTTAGTTTTCCCTAAAAAGCGTGTAAAAAGGTTTTCAAACAACAAAAATGACTGGATGGATTCAAATCTGATACATGAAAAAAATGAAATAGCGGAATTAAAAAATCAAGCCAGATGTACAGGTGATAATGAGCTTCTACATATTTGTAAGCAGAGAAGCAAAGATTATAAAAATAAGTTAATAAGACAGAAGAAAAGCTTTTATGATGGAAAAATTAAAAACTCTGACAATATTTCTAAGAAAACTTGGGAAATAATAAATAAGGAAACAGGAATAAATGCAAATAAGTCTAATAGTTCAATCACTGTTTTGAAAAAGGAGAATAATATTATAAATGATCCCTTAACCATCTCAAACACTTTTAATAATCATTTTATTGGAGCCATTGAAACATTGATACAAAAAACAGCATTAAATTCACACTCAGCTACAGGAACTAACCTACCCAAAAATGCAATAACAAAGCCATTTCATTGTAGCCCAGTAAATGAAAATGAAATAAGTAAAATAATTTTATCTTTTAAAAATAAACTATCTTGTGGTCATGACGAGGTTCCACTAAAATTAATTAAATATGTCAGAAAATCTATTTTAAAACCTATTGTACACATAATTAACTGCTCTTTAATAACTGGAGTTTTTCCTGACAGTTTAAAAATTGCTAAAGTTATTCCAATTTTCAAGACAGGGGAAAAAACTGAGGTAAAAAATTATCGACCTGTGTCCTTGTTGACTTCCATATCTAAAATATATGAAAGAGTAATGTACAACCGTGTTGTGGATCATTTAGTAAATAACGATTTCTTTGATGATGAGCAACATGGTTTTCGAAAAGGCAAGTCCATAACTACTGCTTTAATGGATTTTACAGACACTATAATTGACGCAGTTGATAAAGGAAACAAAGTAGTTGGTATTTTTATGGACCTTACAAAAGCTTTCGACAGTATATCACACAAAATACTTTTAAATAAATTGCAAAATCTGGGTATAACAAATCGTTATATAGATTGGTTTGAATCATATCTCTCTAATAGAAGACAGTATGTTGAGATTGTGTCTGAAACAACTGGTAAAATCTTAAAACATAACTCAAAAATGATAAACATCAAACATGGAGTTCCACAAGGCTCTATTCTTGGGCCTTTGTTATTCTTGTGCTATGTGCAAGGAATGCCCTCTATATTAAAAAGCTTTAATGGTAGCAATAGCAAGTTAGTTCTGTATGCTGACGATTCAAATTTAATAACATCATCTAAATCTTATAATGATCTTGAAATTGTGTGTAATGAACAATTAAAATGTTTTCAATCCTATTTCTCAGAAAACAGTTTATTTTTAAATCATGGAAAAACAAATAAAATGTTCTTCTCAACAGTGCAAAATAAAGACAATCCGGAATTGTCCATATCAATAGAGCAAAGTCAAGTAGAGACAATAAAATTCACAAAATTCTTAGGTTTAATTGTGGATAACCATTTGAATTGGGATCTTCATGTTCTTCATTTAGTAAAAAAGATTTCTTCAGGATTATACGCCTTAAAAAGAATGTCATTTTTATGTAATCTAGAAACACTAAAATGTATTTATTTTGCTCATATACACTCACATCTGTCATATGGTCTAGCAATCTATGGGGGCACTAGTGCACAAAACCTAGATAAAATACTTAAACTTCAAAAAAAGGCTTTGCGAATAATGTTAAACCTGGAACCTAAAACATCTGTAAGAAACCACTTTTCACAATTAGATATACTAACTGTCTATGACCAGTATATTTTAGAATGCATTATCTCTGCCAAAAATAACATTCATAAGTATGTGTTTCGCAAAGATATACACGTATATAACACAAGAAACAGAGATCAAATAGATATACCCCGGCATAACCTCACTTTTTTCTCAAAGAAAGCAACACAAATCGGATGTAAATTTCTTAATAAATTACCATCAAATCTGAAAACTAATATACACACAAAGGGATTTAGGAAATTAGTAAGAAAATATCTCCAAGATAAAACTTGTTATTCTATAGAAGATTTCTTTTTATAGCTCTATTAATCCATCCTATAATCAAGCTTATTTGCTACCAGCAAACTAGAGCTGGTTGTAGGTATATATTTACAAAAACGATTTCAATGATAAAGAAGAAAAAAATACAAATTGCAAGATCTAGTGACTGGTGAGCGAATTTAATAAATTTGTCTTTAGCCTTTTGTTATGTAGGACTAACTAACCAAAAGAGTAAAAAATGTTTTAACTACATTCATAAATACACAGCATTAATAAAGGATTGTATTGCATAGATTTAGCAATGTATGTAAATAAAATAATGTTAAAATAAGAAACATAATGTACTTGTTAGTTCTTATTTCTGTGACTCTATTCATGTATGTATGTACAGTTTGAATAAAGATGATTTGATTTGATTTGATTTGATTTGATTTGATTTGATACTATGTTCTTTTTCAGTATCCAAGTAAGTAAATAATCATCCTTATCAAGGAAAGACACGTGTAGTGCCTCCGGCCCGCGCACGCTCGGGTTCATACGACCGACTGATAATGGAAATAAATGTAAATAATAAAATTGTGTTTTTCTGTGTTTTTAAGTGATGTGATAACAAACTCTTGAAGATGCCACACTTGTGGCGAAATGTACATCGAGCATAAAAATCTACAACTTTCAAAAACCTGGTAACCACAAGATAAGCCGATTTAATAAATCATTTGTTCTTGAAACTGGGAATACCACACACATTTTAAAAGATACAACATAATATCACTTTTTCGTGAACTGTTCTACCGAAGCATTAGTTATACACAACTTTAGGGAGGTTCAAATTGAGTATCTGGGGAAATTCACAGGCACAAACAATCCACCTTTCCTTCTGTCTAATGTTGCATGTTTCCCTTGTCTAATGTTCCAGCCCTACGTCTTGTTAGGGAAGTCACTGAATTATGCAGCTATTATTCCTTGTGCATCTTTTGACAGATTTCCCTTCCTAACAACAATTTTCTTTTGGAGGCGAGGAAACATCTTTAACCCAAGGTGAAAATGATTTGTGTGAAACCTTAGCAAATTCAGGTTTTAAATAATTGCGTTGTATGAGGTAACCTGCTAAGTTATAACTAATAGCCAATAGTAGGGTTTCTTATCAAAGCGGGGTTTAAATTTGACTCATAATATGGCATTATAAATTTAGAAAACATTGAATAACCGGACCATTATTTACACCTTGTGTATTTGTCTCCCAAAAATTATAATTTATTAACTTATTACACAATTTTGATCAAAACACAATCACAATATTTTTTATGTAAAAATTATGTTTATATACTAAGAGGGAATAAATATTACTATATCATGACTAGGATGGTAGGCTCCAAGACAATTCAGTGGTATGGAGTGGAAAAATTAAAAAAAAAATGTTAGGATATTATGTTAAATAAGGTTAGGTTATGTTGTTGAGAATTAGGCTAGGCTAGAAGGTTCGATTCTATTGTATTTAGAAGGTTGTAAAGATTAGAACGTTATATTAGTTTAAGAAGTTAGATTTGAAGATTATTCAGGCTGCAATGCTATGTTAGGTTAGACAATCTCGCAACCTGCTCACTACCACCTGAAAATCTAACTTACGACACCTTACAACAGATTTTGTTCCGAGCATATCGTCCTTGACTCGTGGATATTCTTCAACAGAACAAATAGTGTCTTATGTGTTCTGGGATTTACCACCCACAATCTCCGAGACTGATGTCCACACAACCTTGAGCCCAGAGACGTACTCACGTCTGCCACGCGCCCGTGCCACGCCACTTGTCACGTCGCTCATTTCCCCGTCACTCATGTCACAGTCACGCTAGTTAACTCTAACTCTTCCAATACAACTCATTCCACGTCATTATTGGAGCCGACCGCCGCGACCGTGGCCGCGTGTGTGTCGCGTGCGAGTCCTCAGCGTGGAGAATCCGACGATTTGTCCTTTGGTGCAACAATAGAAAGAAGGAAGAAATTCGAAAGGTCTCGTAGTGGAAGGATTAATTTACTATTAGTCAATTTGATGGTTTTGTACAAATCCGACATATCAGGGAACGTGTTTTGTCTTCAAAGCAAAGATGAACAGTTCTGTTCTCTGGGGCAAGCAAAGAGTAAAAGTAAACACTGAAATCAAAAACAAGTTTTATAAAGATGTTTACACTCTCTTTTAACCTTTATTGGGCCCAAATATTTGAGTTGAACGTATCCAAGAGGTTTCAGTAAGGGTTGAGTCTGTTAGTAGTACTGCACTGAACCGTACTGATGATACATTTTCAGTGAAGACACCCGGATACGAACCAAAGACATCACTGCATTGGTTTCACAGTCCATGAACCGCCAAACTCCAATATTATTCTATTATTTATTAAGTATTTTAAATCAAACCCAACCCACAACCGTACTGACATAATGATAAGTTAAAGCAAACCTGCACTCTCACCAACTAACACAGAACCGGACGAGAAACGTTTTTTAATATTCGCAATTGGACGAAAAATCCACTTGAAGTGTCCATAGTAAATGCTATCATTTGATATTTCTTTGCGAAGTGACAACACTTACCACATTACATCCACATGCATTAGTCTACCTATACGTTACCTCCTGGAGAAGGCGGCGTCGCACTGGTTGCAGCGGTATTTCTTGTCGCCCGTGTGCAGCTTGATATGACGATCTCTGCTGCGCTTGTGCTTGAACAGTCTGCTGCAGAACTCGCATCTGAACGGCATGTGCTCGCTGTGCGTCTGAAACACAAGTTGATCAAGTTGTCAAATCACCTAAATACTGAGCTAGTTTAAAGCTGCGTAAATACAATTTTAAGAAAGTATTCCTCTTTTAAGGTTTAGAGTGTGGACCAGTCTAGTTTTTAATTCGTTAAAATGTCCCTTAACCATTTTATTGAGACTTTGCTTAGTTTACCCTGAACAAAGAACGGGTGCAAAATGGGGTTGACTATATAGGAAATTATGTTACTGAATAATCAACTGTTCCCTTGACTAGTACCTGGCACCATTATGAGCCAAACATCAAACACATTTGAGTGGAGTTTTGAAAAACCCACTGACATTTGTCAGGATCGCCTCTTCGTCCTTGCAGATTATTGGGCGAGCACTCTGTTCAGTCGGGCAGGTATGTATACTTCAAGAAAGATGTTCTACCAAGATTTTTCTTTTCTTGTTTTGTTATCTTATTTTTTAACACTACTTAGTGTTGTTTTAATTTTGAGATTTCCAAGTTTTGGCTGGGTCTGTGTTAGGAAGCTTATGATGTTTTAGGTGCTCTACTTTTTCATATGATGACGGTGTCAGATTTTGGATCCCGGAAAAGTCCTGGAACTTCTTTTAATAAGCGTGATGGAAAATCCACATCCTTCAAACATCCTCATCTCCCTCTCTCTCCCTCTCTCTCCCACTCTATCTCCCTCTCTCTCCCACTCACAGTCCAGGTGCGTCCGTAACAACGCTCGTGTCTTCTCATTAGCAGCAGACCTGGGTCCAATTACATTAAATGATAGCATTAATCGATTCTCACACCTGTCTAGTGGACGGCATCACTCGCGCATAAATATTTAAATGGCCTGGTTACGGACTGCTGTGGTCTACTTTTGAGAGACATTTAACTAATGGTGGAGGGATTGTACCCTTTGTGGCATTCCTTGAGCAACCTAAAATCCTGGATGACACACGTAAAATAGCACTTCTTAATTGCAACAATGAACAGTGATTCTTAACAATTTATAATCGATAATAGTTTACCATTATAATGATTATATAATTGGCTGGTTGTAGAGAAGATGGAATGCTAACCAAAAAATCTGAAATTCTCTGAGAAAAGTCGGTAGGGTTTTGAAGTTTTTATTCTGGGGCTAAAGAAACTAACCTTAGTAACACATACAACTTATTCACTCAATTCTTAACTAATCCTTCATTAACCAATTGTTCACACACTCAATTATTGTTAATGTAGTGTCGTGTTTACGGTATGTTAACTTACCAGTAGCATTTTATTTTCTCAATAATTTATGAACTAGATTTCTTTGCAGTTCAACACTAACTTGTAGAAGGCGACATTAATTAAATAAAATTACCTTTACCCAAATACTGTAGTGAGAATGTCTGAATGCAAGAAAAATAATTATGCAAAGAATATAACGCATTGTAAAATATTAACAGCAGCCTTCCATATCAATTTCACAGTACTGTACTTCCATGCTTCCAAAGACCTACTTATATATCAAGCAATTCATTTGTACAGTTTAGGTGATTTTCAAAAGACATAACATGTTTGTTTTGCTTTATTTTTTCCGTGGAAAGGACATTAAAGAGATTTCTTTTTGTGATAGTCTTTGTTCTTGTAGAAATTATTATTTCCCTCTCAGATTCATATCTGTTATGCCATTAACACAGTGTTTGTAGTGTTCAAAGTACATAATGTAAACAGTGCATATAATGTAAATAGAACAACATCCCACACTCCCGAGGATGTTATAGAATATCTCGAAGATTAATGTTGTCTCATACTTAAACTAAATTTGTTTAATTATCCTACTTGGATTATTGTTGATTTGTTATAGATTGTTATTCTGTACCATCGATATCTGTACTTTGTTCCATCACAATTATCTTGTCTTTGACCAATAATATGTTACTTGTAAACCTATTTAACTTAAGCCCGAACATACTGTCATATCTAACTTCCTATTGTTCCTATTGTTGTTGGTTTTTGCTTCTATTAGGTACAGGATCTTTTTAGTTAGTTAACATTGTTTTCACTAATTCTTAGTTATAATTGTATTACCTTGGTATTAATTTAGTTAAGTTATGAATATTATTATGATATAGTAAAAAGGCGTTATCCGTTGGAATAAATAAATAGGATGAGTTCAAAATACATCAGGACGAAAAAAATGCGATAAATCGACTCTTTACACAGGTTTTTTTCAATATTTAACTTGTAGGGTCTGGCCCAATTCCTCCTTTGTGTCCTTGGGTCTGAGGCCCGAGGGACACTTACAACTCCTACAGGACAGACCCACGTGGTATTGTCTGTAATCACTCAACACTCTTGTCCCACACAGCCATGACGTCACGTCCGTCCAGTCCTTTGGTCAATATCGAACATCACAAAAAGTCAAAAAGCATCAGACTTCTCACAGGATCAAACCGGTCATCTTTTGATACTAGGCGAGCAATATCCATTTAGCTGCAGATGTTAAAAATAATTGCCAAAAAGGCAAATTTTCCCCTAAGTCATAAGGAGGACCTTTGACGCAAAAGATGGAACTTTCGCAACCAGTTTAATATCAGTTGTAAGCCATGAGATTTAGTATATCATGAGCCTAAGGTCGGTGCATGATGAGGCAGAGAAGATTTATTCAGTTATAGGCTTAAAACGTAATGTGTTTGCGATGTCCTTTCAACCACATAACCCGAATGATCATGAAATATCGTCACTAGTCATCCTCAAATATTGATGAAAGGGTGTAGAATGGAATTGTTGGTCTGAGCAGTTATGTTACTGACCAGCTGTTACTTTATCCAAAAACTGCTGGCTCCAATCACCCTAAAGTTCCAGAAAATTACAATTTACAACTGGTCACTCGACTGCACCTCTCGTTCCCGCCAAGCCGCCAATGAAGTCTTGACTTGGCGGGTGCGAGCCCGATAACACATCAGACCTCAGGCTACTTATCACCCGCATTGTTCTAACCGTCCATAAATAATGCGATAGTGTCCTTTTCGATGTATCGATGCCGCTCATTCGGCTTCCGATAGATTTGATCACAAGGTTGATTTATGGATCGTCACAACGACAAAAACACCTCGAGAGTGCAGGGTGTGCTCGCCGACATACTCGCCAAGATGGCAGCGCAGATTGCGGGAGTTTTCAAAATTATTTTTACAGCATTCTTGCTGTCGGAGATGGAAGCTGTGATGATAACTGGGGAATGGGCGCCGACAAAAAGTCCGATCCAGAACAAAAGGCATCGGGCATTTCGTTTTGTAATCGCTAATTTTATGTGGCTCGAATGTCCTTGGATTCCGTTGTTAACAAGCTGTCGCTGGGGTAAATCTGGCATGTAATTAATTTTGAGGTACTTTATATCGTGTAAATTATCAGTAATCGCTGTTCATTCTATTGCTAGGTAGCACTTATAAAAACTCTTTATTTTAAGGTTTCCCAACAAGTTTAGCTTTTGCGGGTCATGAAACGCCGTACCAAGACCTTTAACAAGGAGATTTGCGTGGAAACATATAAAATCAAGTTACTATTAGTTTAAAAATATATTATTTGCATAATTTTCAAAACAAACTGTTGCCTACTTTACTCTACAAACTATCCGTCACCTTACCCCTGCTTATCGTTGATCTTCTCCCACAATTCCCACCGTATCACACAGCATCAGAGACAGAGTGTGTGGACCTCGACAAAGTCTTCCACGTCTTTATTTCCCCTACTTATCTCTAGACAAATCTTAACGTTTTCAACACCTCTATCTGTATGTCGGCGGCTCTTCTAAACTTGGACTAAATAAAAGAGTTTCAGTATTTGTCTAACCTCACTCTAGGTTGAGTCATGTTTAACTATAATTTAGTCAATGATATAATCCTTATCGTACGAATCTTATCGGGGGGCGTGATCTAATACTGAGAAACTACAGCGTTTATCGGTAGATCATGAAGTAGGCCTACTTAAAAAAATATTACCTTCCATGGAAAGTAAGGGGTATATTTCAATTAGTCAGGAAAATATGTTTGCCATTTTTTTTATTTATTGTTTTGCTAACTTGAAAATTATGGGACTGACCGACAAACTCTTAATACAGTAGCAACTCAAAGTTGGTGCAAGCAGTCCCAACGTACTCAAACAATACATGTTTCCACCAAAATGAGTAGTTTATTGAGATTTTTTTTGCTAGACTGAACACTATAAACTCCCTTATACAAAGTAACGACTACTGAATCTCAATGCGAACTGAGCGAACCCTTCAAAAGGCAATACCGTAAACACCCCCACATTATGCGAGTCACACAGGAATCGATCGGATCTGAATAGCCAACAATGGGACAATGCAACAATTAAAAGTGTAACAGTCGGGGTGTAACAATTAAAATAGTTGGTGTATACGGAGGCACGCGCTGGCTGCAGCCGCTGCCTTTGTGCTGCTGACGGACTAGACGAGGTAACGCACATAAACAAGTCTCGGTAAAAACGAGTTTTCTAAGTAGCGACGGCCGGTACTGGGAAGCGCGTCGACGAGGCATGGGTATGGCTGCTTAGTGCTTACCGTAAGTTCCAGGGGTCACTGTCTAGCGTCTAGTCGGGCAAACTGTCACCTCTGCGAACCGTCGTATGAGCCACAGTTTAGAAAGGTCTGCAACCTCATCAAACTGTCATCTCGACAAACTGTCATCTCGGAAAATTGTCATCTCGGAAAACTGTCATCTTGACAAAGCGTTCGGTATCTCGGCAAATTAACATCTTGAGAAACCGTCACCTCGAAAATCTGTCATCTCAACAAATTGTCATCTTCACAAACACTCATCTTAAGCGAATGTCATCTTAACAAACCGTCATTTCAGTTAACTGACATCTGGGCAAACTATCAAATCGACAAATTGTATCTACAGCAAACTGAAACTTCATATCATAATTCTTTACATGTCGGTCGAGAATTAAAATCCCTGTTAAGACCGCCTTGTTGTCAAACTATAACGACAAAACTATTGAAATTGTACCAGGATCAAAAAAGTTAAAAGTGACGAGAAAATTACATGGATAGTTTGTTGAAATAATTATTGAAATGTATTAAATGAGGCTAATGCACGATCCCTACTCTACCAAACCTATTATACTATTATACAAAGTGAGTTTCCTTTACATTCGAAAACTCTCAGAATTATTCACCTCACGAGCTTACCACCACGAATAATCACAATCAACGTACGAACAGCATTGTTAATCAAACAACCACATCTTTAGACCACGTCATGATTGTTCTGATTGCAGATTTACAACCGAACACCACGACAATGCGAATGCGATAATCGACCACTTATACAGATATTCACAGAGCCGTCAGCATAAATCCGTGCGTCAAATACAAGGGCGTCAATCAAAACACGGGATTATGGGACACCGCAGTGTTCGATCCGACAAAGGCTATGGAAGAGAATTGTGGAAAATGGATAAATCATCGCGTATAGGGGACAGGTGACGCGGTGTGTGTGTGCGCGTGTGTGTGTGTGTGTGTGCGTGTGGTCGTACTTACACCAATTACCAGATCGCTGCACCGTTAGCTGTCAGATATATACCACAGGTGCTCCGGACAGACAGGCACTGTACATCTGCCATTGAAGGTCAACCGACCACTTTGGATTTGTTTTAGGAATGTTTCAGTTTCAAACGAATTATATATCGTTTAAATCTCACCTAATTTCGTCAAGGAAAGAGAGCGTACTATTATTTCATAAATCACTGTAAGATATTTAAATGTTCCTAGACAATAAATGTAATAAATTATTATACACTAATCATTCAAAGGTATATCCTAAACTTAAAAGAGAGGCTTTCACAGCCTTCCTTTTTTCTCATATAGTAACGGATTGATCAATTATCTTTCTCAATATATATACTTCCTAACATTATGCGATACTTTACTACTACAAAAGAAACTCACCTGTTCATGTTTCTTGAGGTAGCTCAGCCTAGGGAAGGCCTTGTCACAAAACTGACAGGCGTAAGGTGTAGCCTCCGTGACTCCTACGGTGAAGGTGAGTTCGGCGTCAGGAACATCAGAGGCAGAGTTAGGGGTAGCACAGGAGCTCGGGGGAGAGGTCTGCCCCTCGGAACCCCACGAGGATCCTGCCTCGGTACCCAGGGCGTCTGTAACATGAAAACACCATAAGATACCATAGAAACACTATAACATAATATGTGGTCTCTGCCCCTCGGAACCCCACGAGGATCCTGCCTCGGTACCCAGGGCGTCTGTAACATGAAAACACCATAAGATACCATAGAAACACCATAACAGGAGCTCGGGGGAGAGGTCTGCCCCTCGGAACCCCACGAGGATCCTGCCTCGGTACCCAGGGCGTCTGTAACATGAAAACATCATAAAATACCATAGCAACACCCTAACAGGAGCTCGGGGGAGAGGTCTGCCCCTCGGAACCCCACGAGGATCCTGCCTCGGTACCCAGGGCGTCTGTAACATGAAAACACCATAAGATACCATAGCAACACCCTAACAGGAGCTCGGGGGAGAGGTCTGCCCCTCAGAACCCCACGAGGATCCTGCCTCGGTACCCAGGGCGTCTGTAACATGAAAACACCATAAGATACCATAGAAACACCATAACAGGAGCTCGGGGGAGAGGTGTGCCCCTCGGAACCCCACGAGGGTCCTGCCTCGGTACCCAAGGCGTCTGTAACATGAAAACACCATAAGATATCATAGAAACACTATAACAAGAGCTCGGGGGGAGAGGTGTGCCCCTCGGAACCCCACGAGGGTCCTGCCTCGGTACCCAAGGCGTCTGTAACATGAAAACACCATAAGATATCATAGAAACACTACCTATAACAAGAGCTCGGGGGGGAGGTGTGCCCATCGGATCCCCACGAGGATCCTGCCTCGGTACCCAGGGCGTCTGTAACATGAAAACACCATAAGATACCATAGAAACACCCTAACATGAGATGAGGTCTCTACCATTCGGAACCGCAGGAGGATCCTGCCTCGGTACCCAGGGCGTCTGTAACATGAAAACACCATAAGATACCATAGAAACGCCATAACACGAGATGGGGGTCTGTGCCCCTCGGAACCGAAGGAGGATTCTGCCTTGGTACCCATAGTCCGGTAATTAAAGAGAAATATATAGCGGAGGTTCAACAAAATTGATTCAAAAGGTTTTTCAACGGATTTCATTAGTTTTATACCTCCACACAACACAAAAAAAAGTCTACCAAAATCTGACTTGGGGAAGTACCTGAATTATGGTATTTAAATTAAAATAATAATTTCTCCATGAAAAAAAATAGATAAAAATATTGTTGCTATATATAGGTTGTAGTATATCGTTTTTAATGTTTTGAAGGGTGGGGAAACTAAATATGCAACTTAAAATGTGATTTGACGTCAATTGACACCACAAAATGGCCGCCAAAATAGATTCATGGGGAAAAAACTAAAATAAAACTTACTTTTAGATATAGGGTGTAGTATATTGAATTCAATGTTTACAAGGGTGGCAAAACCAAAAATGCAACTTAAAATATGATTGTATAAAATATAAGGTCATAAGAAGAAATCACAAAAATACGCCCCATGGGGAGAAAAGTTAAAAAAAACTTGACTTTACAAGTTGTAGTAAGGCGATTTTAGCTTTTACAAATGCTAGTAAACTAAATATGCAACTTAAAATAAGATTTTACATCATGAGACGGTGGCGTAAGATGTGATACCGGGGCACATGGATTATTTTTACATAGGGAATAATAATGGTATTTTAAAATATTAATAAATCAAATTCAATGAACACACGTTTGAAAAGGGAAAAAGGGTACTTGGTCCTAAACCTTAGACGCTCATACTCTTCATACACGCTCGTTGCGGATGTAGTACCAAATAGAGGCCCTATGGAATAGGAAAACTATCCGTTATGAACAAATACCATGATCTCAAGGAATTCACTGCATTGACATGTGGTCAGTGTAAAGGGGTCACATGCACAAATGGGCAAACCCTTGATTTCAATGAAAATAAGTAACAGAGTAATTTCTTTCATAGTAACAATCTCTAAAAAGGTGACAAATGATAGATATGTGGGACTATTGTTTAACACTTTAGTCAGTTTTAACAGTATTTTATTAGCAGTATGAATTCTCGGCTGTATTTATATTAAAAAGTGTGTTCATTGAAATCGAATTATTTCTACACTATTATACCATTATTTTAATACAGTATCCTATGTAAAAATAATTCATGTGCCCCGGTACCCCGTCTTACCGTCTCATAATGTAAAATCTCATTTTAAGTTGCATATTAGTTTACTGGTATTTTATAAAAGTTAAGATTGAAAACTAAAACCTAGTTCCAAAGATAGGCTATTTCAAGAGACGTTTCTGTAATTTATTTTCCGTAAATTTAATAATAGTGGAAGAATATTAGGAAAATCTACCTAACAAATTAAGACTAAGTGGAAACTTTGCACAGTTGTTTAGTAAGCCTAAATAAATAAAATTTCAAAAGTCCCCATAAATCCCTGCTGTGCTTCAGCCGCCATCTTGGAAAATGGTGGCCAATTTTCACTTTTTTGACAATATTATTTCACAAACTATTGGTATTAGAGAATTTTTGTAAACACAAAAGTTAAAGAACGTCTAAAGATGCATCTTTTTATATTACAAGGTTTGCTCTATCTCTAATGGTTATTGAGATAAATAATAAAAGTTAGTATTAAATAAAAAATTCCCATGTTATTCTTATGGAAGAAAATAAATTTGTTGCAGTTTGCTTATTTATGGATATATTTTTATCAAACTTGGCAAATTTATTTATTTTATACTAAGCTATTAATATTTAACATAAATATACACTTTAGTACCCTCCCTATAGCAGTAAACCTATTACTCGTTAAATTTAAAGTTATTTAAATAGGGAATCTATCTTACATTTTTAGGATATAGTTTTAGCAAATGGATATTCATTTTTCAATCATATTAACAATGTTAATCATTTTTCTTATTGGTATTACGATTTAAAGCCCACTTACTTTTTTGTCACTATCATGTAACTACTAAAAACTTAAGTGGTACCTACGTTATTACTCCCGGTATATTTTTTGTCGGTAAATATTAGGAAATTGAACCTTAAAATCCGGTCTAAATTGAAATTTTGCACAGTTAAGCACAGTGAGACTAGTTGAAAATACCGGCTGTGCCTCAGCCACATTAAGTCCGGATTTTAAGGCTGAATTTCCTAATATTAACCGTCAACATAATTATACCGGGAGTAATGAGTAGGCCTACCATGTAAGTAGTTACATAGTAGTGAAAATATAGTGAGTGAGCTTTAAACTTACTAATATTAATAAGGGAAAACTATTGTTAAAAAAAATAAATTTCCATTTGCCGGACTGGATCATTACTAAAATATATCCTAAAAATTTAAGATAGATTCCCTATTTAAATAACTTTAAATTTAACGAGTACTAGGTTTACTGCTATAGGGAGGGTACTAAAGTGTATATTTATGTTAAATATTAATAGCTTATTATATAATAAATAAATTTGCCAAGTTTGATAAAATTATATCCATAAATAAGCAAACTGCAACAATTTTATTTTCCTCCATAAGAATAACATGGGAATTTTTTATTTAATACTAACTTTTATTATTTATCTCAATAAACATTAGATATAGAGCAAACCTTGTAATATAAAAAAGATGTATTTTTAGACGTTCTTTAACTTTTGTATTTACAAAAATTCTCTAATACCAATAGTTTGTGAAATATTGTCAAAAAAGTGAAAACTGGCCGCCATTTTCCAAGATGGCGGCTGAAGCACAGCAGGGATTTATGGGGACTTTTGAAATTTTATTTATTTAGGCTTACTAAACAACTGTGCAAAGTTTCCACTTAGTCCGAATTTGTTAGGTCGAATGGCTTTATTATTCCTAAAATTCTTGGACTATAACACGTACAATGCTGATCAAGAAGTTATTTATTTCTAAAGGTAAGTTTTTCAACTTTCCTTCATGGGGCGTATTTTGGTGACTTCCATCTTATGCTTTTAAATTAGATACAATCATATATTAAGTTGTATAATTGGTTTTGCCACCCTTGTGAACATTAAATTCGATATACTGCACCCTATATCTAAATGTGAGTTTTATTTTAGTTTTTCTTCCTTGGAAAATATTTTGGCGGCAATTTTGTGGTGTCAAATGACGTCAAATCACATTTTAAGTTGCATTTTTAGTTTCCACACCCTTCAAAACATTAAAAACGATATACTACACCCTATATATAGCTAAAATATTTTTATCTGTTTTTTTTTTCACGGAGCAATTATTATTTTAATTTAAATACCATAATTCAGTTACTTCCCCAAGTCAGATTTTGGTAGACTTTTTTTTGTGTTGTGTGGAGGTATAAAACTAATGAAATCCGTTGAAAAACCTTTTGAATTAATTTTGTTGAACCTCCACTACTCAATGACTGGACTACCAGGGCGTCTGTAACATCATATCAACATCGTAACAGGTTCTTCCTTCATAAGTCTGTATACAGTATAAACACTATAATTTGAGCCAGGGTGGTTGTCTTTCCCTTAAACACACGAAGATCCTATAAAAAATCATATACAACTCTTCAAGAACATAATTAAATCCAAATGTTATTCAAGTCTCCCTTAAGTTGACACACTACATAGAGGTCTAAACGTCGGTAAATGAAAGTGTTTTCCACAATTTTGACGGCCGTTACCCGAAGACCACGAATCTAGACAAATATATTGATTGAGAAATACAACGGTCCACATCTCGTTTATACACGTACCTTCAAACTGTAAATAATGACTCGTATGCAATGTCTGGTTATAACTAAACATAACTCTTTGGAATACATGTTCGGGAACACATTATTATGAAAATTGCAAAATTGTACTCTGTCATAGTCAAAGTCGCCTTCTACATAGGCCACAAAATTGTGTATTCAGCAAAAATAGTAGACCTAACCATGTTTAGAAGAACAGTAAATATATTTCCAGCATATATTTTTTTCTTATTCCTTATGTTTAAGATTGGCTTAGTTATTGACCACATAGCTACTCGACGTATACGAATTGCTATGGGGACTGCGCCATGAGGCCGAAGTCCTAAAGGGAGTTAGCGATTGGATGAAGTCCCGTTTGGATAGAGATCCCACGGGATATGGTTGGGGTTTGATTCCTGAGGGAAAATACCTCATGTGAGGCAATTCAAACAACCAGGAACATTAACCACGTACATTTCAGCGTTTTGACAACAGAGTTATAGTAACTGATGGAGTATTTATAACTCAATGAACAATATTATAATTATAAATTTGTTAAGTCAATAAAATTGTGTTAAAATTAACTATAGAGTTCATATATGATGAATGTACAAATCTCCGTTTTGCTGTAAATCAAATTATTGCCCTTTTGATCAAACAACTAAGTTGTGCGTACTTAATATAAATATTACTGACTAACTCATACTCAAATGTTGTTCAATTTGTATATGATATTACTTAAGAAGATGACTTTTTAACTATTTTCTTATATTCTATGATTAGAAAATTTTGTTTACGTTTCAACCTTATCATCTATACAAAGTTTTCTTGTTTACAACAAAATGTAACTTTCTTACCGAGATATTTATTTACAAGCGGTTTGT